TCTGGATGGTGAGGAAAATATCAATACAATTGGCATGGAATATGGAGAATGATTAAAGAACTGTCTGTCTAGAAGTAACTGTATGTCTCTCTCCACATGCTATGTGTGTGTCTCTATTTGTGCACACATCTGTATCCCCCTCCCAAAAAAAATACATTTGTTAGTGGGTGTTTAAGGCTCGCTCTGTGCGTCCTTCATACAGACCACATTCGTGGACTAGTTTTCCATCTTCTCGCTTCCGGAAGGTCATTTCAAAGTGCTTGCATCCGTGTGGCCTGCAAGAGGAGCAGAAGACAGAAAGCAAATGAGAGAGAGTGTCTCCTCTATCCGATGGGGCTTCATATCCCTAATTAACCTGGGAATTTGAGCAGGGGAATAATAAGATAACCAGTTTTCCGTGTGTGCCCGGATGATACACGGAAGCTCAGCCCGAACGCCATGGCCTCCTAAATGGTGAAAGTCTGATGGTACTCTTTGGGAGGGCTGCCTCTCCTTCGCCCCAGTTTGCGGTGAAGTTAAAATCCGCCTTTCCTATTTCAGATTTGGAATTCGGAATGGTCGGAGTGGTGGACCCAGAAAAAACAACAAGAAGAATTTCTGCCCGTTTTATGGGGAAAGAGGGTAGACCTGCTTGAGGCTTCGCAAAAACAGCCAACCCCTGTAGTCTGGGTCTACGCAGCGCATGACGGCACAAAGGGAGGGGGAACAAGAAAAGGGAGCCTTTGGACTACAATGCCCATAATCCCTGAACCATCACGGGCACTACAGTGACTTTTCCGGACTACAGCAGTCATTTCTCAAACCCCGGGCAGGAAAGAGGAGGTGCGCGTTTGGAACAAAACAAAGGGAAGCCAAACTTACGTGGGCATGTTGGAAGCCACCGTGACTCCTCCGTCCTCCAACTTCGTTAGGGTGGCTGTCACAATCTTCATGTCGTCCCGGTGCTTCAAAACCATCTCGCAGTCGCTGGCCAAGGCGACCCCATGCCACACTCCTTGGAGCTGAGGAGAAAAGGCAACGTGAGAGACCCACGCGGAGGCTTCCTCTGGAAACCTCAAACGAGCGTTAGTACCGAAGTCGCCCCAGTGGCTTGATTTGAACTCGACTCTGCGTTGTTGTTGTTTTTTTCCCAATGACTCACTCAGAACTCACCGACCCTTCCCTTTTTTTTTCCTTGCCAACCTCCCTGGTCGCTACACAGTAGCTTGGTCTTCTCTTGAGGTGGCCACGGCTCCATCATACTGAATGGGTGGCATTTGTGAGCCAGAGCTCTAGGGAGTTTGTTACACCCTCTCTAACAGCAAACGGGACATCCCGCGTTCAGCTACAAAGCCCAACATTCCTTGGGACTAAGGGCCCCCTCAGATGGTCTGACGGGGCCGGAAAGAGTCGTTTTGCTGGGGGGAGGAATCCCTCCAGCGCGGCTCCAAAAAAGAGGAGCCAGCTGTTAGACCAGAAAGGTCCAGCTTGGGCACGGATCAGGGCCAGCTTGGACTGGGCCACACGTGGTGCAAAAGTCCACGGACTTTCCCGGATGGGGAAAGTCAATGGATCGCCTCAACCTGATCCGTTGGTCCATTTCAAGCTAGCAAACTCCTCTCGCGCTTTCCGTCGGGCTGAGGAAGGCGAAGACGAGACAAAAGCAGGCTAAGAGAGGAATTTATTCGTTCTGTTTACTGAGAGAGAGATTTGCTCATGAGAAGTAGCCCTGGGGGTAACGGTCCCGTTGGGTGCAAAAGAGGAGGGAGAAGAAGGGATGCTTTAAAAGCCAGGGGTCGGAACCAGGCGGTGCTAAACAGAAAGAGAGAAGCTCAGGGCCCTGCGGAGTGGGAGGGTCAGTTGGTTTGGAAGCCCACCATGAAGATGGACGCAGAAGAGCCTCCAAAGCAGAGAGAAAGAGAGAGAGAAATTCCTCTGGTTTTGTTACCTTCTCATGCTCCACGTTGTCAAGGTCGTCCGCCCTGATGATGCCAAAGAAGGCGAGACCCAACCCAACCAGCCAGACCCTCATCGTTCTTCCTTCTCAGCGAACGAATCTCAGAAGAATCTCAGAAGACAGTGGAAGGAGACTGAGAGAGGCGAGGTGGAGGCTCCTCCTTTTATAGGGCTTTGCAGCACCCAAAGGGCATCGCCCCCCACCTCCAAATCATGGGGGGGGGGCTTCTCTCCACCTTCTCCACACCTCCACCTTCTCTTGCCCTTGTGCCACATCTTCAAGCGGAGGGGGGGGAATAACACGGTGGCCCCCCAAGGGCCCTGAGATAGGTTGGCCTCAGCACAGTCATTATCCAAACAGAGGAGGCGTTTGTGTTGGCTCAGGACTGGATGAGCATTTGGCCCAAATCCGCCCAGGAAAAGGTCACGCGCTTCTTATCTAAAGGAGAGGCAGGTGGAGACGGCTTAGCAGGGACAATGCAGAAATTCAGGTGCAGAAACAAAGATGGCGGACTGTCGCATGGCCCAGATTGACGTAGCCAAGCAACTTTTATGGAAACGATCCGTCTTTCCTTGCCTGGGGCTGTTTCTTCAGCAGAATCAAAGGGGGGGTTTCATCTCCAAAACACGTGCCTTGAGTCACGAGCTGCTGAGCCATGAACACAGGGAACAGACCCATTGAACTCACGGGCTGGTTGGCCTCCCTTGCCCTTCGCCATTTTGGCCCAAGCTTGCTGTTTCTTCACTCTTGGAGATCGGAGAGGGAGGCAAAAGTGTCTCTGAACATGTGCGGAGGGGCCACCCCTGCAAACAATTCCTTTGGCTTAACCTAGCTACCTTACACCAGAGTTTCCACAGAGCATCAAACCTCCACAGTCCAGTTGTCTAGGGGTTCTGTTTATTTTTATTTACTAAAATATTTGCCTCCTACTTTATGCCTGGGAACTGAAGGAGACAGACCTTAAAGCGACATGAAACAAGGAGCAATTAAATCAATGAGACCGAAACAATGTGTAGAAATCCACAGCAGTACGAGTCAAGCCGCTGCCACGCGAGTCCCTTTACTGGGAGTAAGGTGGTTTAAAAACCAGTCAGTAAACCAACCAACCGA